TCCACAAGGGTGCCCGGATGGAGGACCAGAAAAAAGATTTCGAGCCCTCGGCCCCGAGGGGCCCCCAGGATGCCCAAGAGGCCCCACAGAGGCCCCCAAGAGGCCCCAAAACAAATTCTAAGAGGCGCCCGAGAGCGCTCCGAAGATACCCCAAGAAGCATCCCTGAGAACTCTGAACCGACACCCAAGCACGGTGACGGGATGTGCCCATGACCATGAGAACTGCTTGGCACAGGGACGGAAATCGCTGAGTCTGTGAGGGGTTCTTTCCGTGAGGGCGCGAGGTCGCTGGCTAGTGTCTTGACGCCCTGCTGGTGTGAAGGCTTTGGTCGACATACAACAATCTAACAAAAAGCCTTGCGAACATCAATGACTAGTGCATGTCTGGGCCTTCCTGGGGGTCCTTTTCGGGCTCTTTTGGGCTGTCTTAGGAATCCCTTGGGCCGTCCCGGGACCCTCTTGGCCGTCTTGACGGACTTGGGCCGTCTTGTGGCTCTCTGGGGAGCCTTGGTGTTCAGAGCTTGTTACGCCACCGCTCGCTGTGGGGAGCCACGGTGTCCCTTGGCGTCTCTGGGGCTTCTTGGGAGTCTCGTGGTGGCCCTTGTGGACCGTTTTGGGGCTCTTGGACCGTCTTAGGGCCAGCCCAGTCCCCACACCCAAGCAGCCCAGTCTCCACACCGCCTCTTCGGGCCCGGGGTGCCACCGGATTTTCGACATGTGGCAAATCCCTTGTGTTTTTGGACCCCGCTCCTCCTCCTCCTCCTCCTCCTCCTCCTCCTCCTCCTCCTCCTCCTCCTCCTGGGAGCCTCTCTGGGGCCATCTTTGTGCTCGTGGGGCCGTCTCGGGGCCCCCGTGGGGCCGCCTGGGGGGGCCCCCTTGGACGGTTGTCGGGCCCCTGGTGGCGCCTGTCTCTGGGACCTCTTGGGCTGCCTAGAGCCCTTCTGGGCCTGACAAGGCGAGAACCCTAAAAAACCTCCGAAACCGATATTTGGACGCCCGAAATAGGTACCGAAAGCATGGGTACAATGCCCAACAACAAATGTTGTTCCAAACCAACAGCGGCCGCTGTTGGGCAGGCGGCCTTCTGTCTTGAATGGCACAGGCCGCGGCGGCGTGGACAGCGAGTCCTGTTCAAAATGAACCAGTTTCGCTGTTCGGCATTGTACCCATTCTTTCAGTACCCATTTCGGGCGTCCAGACCATAGAGTCCCCACACCCAAGCAGCCTAGTCCCCACACCGCCTCTTCGGGCCCCCATTGGGAGTGCCTTGGAGCCCCTCGGGGCCTCCTTGGGGCTCCCATTGGGACCGCCTCGGAGCGCTTTGGGGCCGTTTCGGGGCCCTTTTGGGCAGTCTGGGGGCCGTCCTGGGACGAGCTTTGGGCCCTCGTGGGCGGTGTTGGGTTCTTCTGGCCCCAGAAGGCGAGAACCCGAACAATGTTCAAAAGCCCCACGGAACGCAATGTGTTTGGGCGCGTGAGGCCCTGTCGAGGGCCCTCTTGAAGGCCCTCAAGAAGGCCCTCTTGAAGGCCTTGTGGACCGTCTGGAGGCAATCTGAAGCTCGCTTGGGGCAGTCGTTGGGCCGTGTTGGGGCCCTCTAGGGCCGTCTTGGCGCCCTTGAGCCGCTCCAGTTGAAACAAAACTGGAAGACGGGCCATCCAAGGCGTCCGCGAACTGCTTCACTCGAAAGAATACAGAAAGAAAAGGCATTACACACCATCCTTGCGGACAAGATTTGCATCCATATCCAGTGCGTCTTGGACTTTCTTGGACGGGGCGCCACGAGGCCGAAGCGCACTGGGTATGGATACAGATCGAGGCTCCAGGTGGCACATGTATATATTTATACATATATGAATATATACACATATTTATATTTAAATATATATATATATATATATATATCTCCAGTGCGCCTCGGGTTTCTGGGGAAGGGAGCCCGAAATTCAATACTGCAATGGATATGGACAGAAGTATCGCCCGCAATCCTTGCGCTCCTCGCCCCTCACCTGGACCCCGCCCCAGAGAGACGTCGCCCCACACTGGAACGTCCTCACTCGTACCTCATGCGGGAACCGGATGAGCGCTGCAGGAACCGGCCCGAGGTGGCTCCTGGCACCCTTCGCTCTCGGGAGCCTTGGCGCGAAGAGCTTGTTGCGTCATCGCTCTCTGCTGGAAGCCCTGGTGTTCAGAGACTGTTACGTTGCCGCTTGCTCTTTGGAGCCTTGGTGTTCAGAGCTCTTTACGTCACCTCGCTCTGGGGAGCCTTGGTGTTCAGAGCTTGTTACGCCACCGCTCGCTGTGGGGAGCCATGGTGTTCCGTGGCGTCTCCAGGGCGTATTAGGAGTCTGATAGGGGGCTCGCTTGGGCCGTTTGGGGACTCTTGGGCCGTCGTGGGGCCAGCCCAGTCCCCCACGCCCAAGCAGCCCAGTCCCGACACCGCCTCTTCGGGCCCTCTTGGGGGCCTCTTGGGCCCATCTTGGTGCTCTCGTGGGGCCGTCTTGGTGCGCCCTTGGGCCGTCTTGGGGCCCTCGTGGGTCGTCTGGGGGGCCCTCTTGGACTATTGTCGGGCCCTTTTGGGACCTCTGGGGCCGTCTTGGGACGATCTTTGGGGCCTCCTCGGCCATCTGCCTTGGAAAACCTTAGGAACAGCAATGTTTTTGGAATCCTGAGGCCCTCTCGGGGGCTCTCTTGAGGGCCGTTTGGGGACTCTTGGCCCTCCTTGGGAGTCTCGTGGAAGCATCTCGGGGCTCTCTTGGGGCTCTCTTGGGGCCGTCTTGGGGCCCTCTTGGGCTGTTTTGGGGCCCCCTTGGGCCGTCAGGGGGTCCTCTTGGACCGTTTTCAGCCCCTTTGGGGGGGCCTGTGGAGCCGTCTTAGGACGAGCTTTGGGGCCTCGTGGGCCGTGTTGAGCCCTTCTGAACCCGAAAAGGTGAGAACTCAAAAAACCAAAAAACCCTTGAAGACAAAGATAAATCAATGTTCTGGCATCCTGAGGCTCTCTCAGGGGGCCCTCTGGAGGGCCTCTGGAGCAGTCTCCAGGATCTCTTGGACCGTCTGGAGGCCGTCTGAAGCTCTCTCGGGGTTATCTGTGGGCCGTTTTGGGGCTTGGGCCGTCTTGGGGCCATCTGGCCGTTTCACTCGAACAAATATAAAGAAACAGGCCATGGGAGCCGCCCAGCAGCCCCTTCATTCGAAACGAAACGAGGGAAGCGGCCCCCGGGCGGGCGTTACAGCCAATCCTTGCCCGCCTCGCCACTCCCCTGCACCGCTCCCTAGATTGGTTCGCCTCAACTCAACGTACATCGCTCGTGCCTCGCTCTTTCCTTTACCTGGGCTGGCACGGGAACGGAAAGAGCGCCGCAGGAACCGGCCCGAGGTGGCTCCTGGCACCCTTCGCTCCCAGGAGCCTTGGCGTGAAGAGCTTGTTGCGTCATCGCTCTCTGTTGGAAGCCCTGGTGTTCAGAGACTTTTACGTTGCCGCTCGCTCTTGGGAGCCTTGGTGTTCAGAGCTCTTTGCGTCACCTCGCTCTGGGGAGCCTTTTGTGTTCAGAGCTTGTTACGCCACCGCTCGCTGTGGGGAGCCATGGTGTTCCGTGGCGTCTATGGGGCTCTTTACGTCACCGGTCGTCTTCGCCCTCATTTTCGAGCCCCTTTGGAGCCTCTGGGACCGTCTTGGGACGATTTGCGGGGCCACTTCAGCCGTCTGGGGCCCTGCTGGGCCCGAAAAGAACACCCAAAACCTTGAAAAACCTTAAGAACAGCAATGTGTTTGGCCTCCTGAGGCCTTCTCGGGCGCTCTGTTGAGGGCCGTTTTTAAACTCTTGGGCCGTCGTGGGGCCAGCCCAGACCCCACACCCAAGCAGCCCAGTCCCCACACCGCCTCCTCGGGCCCCCTTGGGAGTCTCTTGGGGGCCTCTTGAGGCCCTCTTGGGGCTTTCTTGGGGCCGTCTTGGGCTGGTTTGGGGCCCTCTTGGGCCGTCTGGGGGCCCCCTTGGACCGTTTTCAGCCCTTTTGGGGGGCCCTGGGGGCTTTGGGGCCTCGTGGGCCGTGTTGAGCCCTTCTGAACCCGAAAAGGTGAGAACTCAAAAAACCCTTGAAAACAAAGATAAATCAATGATTTTGGCCTCCTGAGGCTCTCTCAGAGGGCCTCTGGAGCCGTCTCGAGGCTCTCTTGGACCGTCTGGAGGCCGTCTCAAGCTCTCTCGGGATCGCCTGGGGGCCGTTTTGGGAGCCTCTTGGGCCGTCTTGGGGCCCTGTGGCCGCTTCACCCGAACAAGTACGAGAACACAGGCCATGGGAGCCGCTGGGGAGCCGCTTCACTCAAAAACATACGAGGGAAGCGGCCCCCCGGCGGCCATTACAACCATCCTTGCCCCCCTCGCCCCTCCTCTGGAGGCTGCGCCCCAACTCAACATGCATCGCTCGCACCTCGCTCTCTCCGTCACCTGGGCCGGCACGGGGACAAAGCAACCTCCAGAATGGCGCGAGAAACTCGGCGCGCGCTGAGACACGGGCGCCACTGCTAACCATTACGACTGAATGCATGAGGCTGCCCCAGGGTTCCTTTCTGTTCTGACGTCGGAGCCCACCCGGCCGCCGAGTGGGCGGCCCAGTCGGCTCGATTCCAGCAGGGCAGGTCGGTTGAGCCAGTTCGGCCACCCAAGGAGCTCGATCCCGGGCCCGTTCGACGGCCGACTCGGCTCAAAAGAGAGCCCCGAGGGTGCAGCAGCTGATGCTCCTGCATCGCCGTTGCACCGGCGACGTGGCGACGCGGGGCTCGAGCAGAACACGGGTTCCTAGGTCACACCGCATCGCAGCTCCACCAGCGAGTCGGTGTGACCTGGGACTCGGAGTCTGACCCGATTGAGGGAGGCCCGGGCCCTTCTGGGGCGCACTGGACGCGGCATTGCAGAGCATATGGCTTTCGGCTATCTCGCTGAAGAACGACGCGGCCAGCTGCCACTGCCCGCCCTTCTCGCAAGCGCTGATCCCCGCGTCATAGCCGATGACACTGGGCTTCAACTTTGCCGCCAACATATCGCTCAGCAGCCACAGGGTTCGCTGCCAGTGGTTGCCCTGGTGGCACGACGTGATCGCAGCGCTGTAGCTGATGACGTCGGGCCCCCATTTCGCCTCCAACATTTCGCCGATCAGCACCAAAACCCACTGCCACTGTGTCGCTTTCCCGCACGCGCTGATCCCAGCGGTGTAGCTGACGACGTCGCGCTCAACATTCGCCTGCCACATCTCGGCCAGCAGCGAAAGTGCCCGCTGCCACTGCTCGCTGTTCTCGCATGCACTGATCCCAATGTTGTAACTGATGACTGTGGGCTCGAGCTTCGCCGCCAACATCTCGCTGAACAGGGAATGAGCTCGCTGCCACTGCCTGCCTTTAACGCACGCGCTGGCTGCAGAATTGCAGCTGATGATGTCGGGCTCCAATTTTTCCTCCCACATCTCGCTGAGCAGGGACAGGGCACGCTGCCACTGTCCGCTTTGCTCGTAAGCGCTGATACCTGCGTTGTAGCTGATGATGTTGGGCTTGACCTTCACCTCCGACATTTCAGTCAGTAGCGCAAGAGCCCGCTGCCAAATGTTGCCTTTCTCGCACGCGCTGATCGCAGCGCTGTAGCTGAAGACGTCGGGATCCAGCTTCGCCTCCGAAATGTTGCTGAGCAACAATACAGCCCGCTGCCATTGCTTGCCTTTCTCGCATGCGCTGATCCCGGCGTTGTAGCTGACGACGTCGGGATCCAACTTCGCCTCCCTCATCTCGCTCAACAGCGATAGGGCCGGCTGCCACTGCTCGCTTTTCTCGCACGCGTTGACCCCAGCGTTGTAGCTGACTCGTGCGAACCCGTGGATGAAATCCACGGTGTGCTGAACCTGGGACTCGCACTCCGTGGGTGAACAGCACATCGAAGTTGAACAACTCGGGCTTCCGTGGGGCAGTGTCGGGGCCGTCTTGGGGCCGTCGTGCCAGAGGGCACGAAGAGGGCCCGAAGAGGGCCCCAAAACGGCTCCAAGAGGGCCCCAGGACGCCGCCGGGCGCGGGCCCAGCATTCTGCCACGAGAGGCCTTTCTGTGGCAGAATGCACCTAGCCCTGCAGCGTAGGGGCCCGAAGGCCCCAAGAGGGCCGCAAGAGCGCCCCCAGGGGGCCCCAAGAGGGCCCCAAACCGCATGTACTTGATATGCTTCTTGGGATTGCGAGAGGGGCACCTAAGTACACGCGTCATGGGGCCTTGTCGGGGCTCTCTTGGATCCCTGCTGGCCCCCTCTTGGGGGCCCTCGGGAGCGCTCCCACCGTCCTTGCCCCCTCTTGGGGCCGCCATGGGCGCCTGAGGAGCCGTCCTGGTGCAATCTTGAGCCGTCTTGGGGCCCCCCCGGCGGCCTCCTGAGGCGTCTTGGGACAGTCTTGATGGCCTGTGTGGCCGTCTTGGACGCTTCGACGACGGAAAGGTTCGGGCTCTCCTGGGGCTCTCTCTCTCTGGAGCCCACTTGGGGCATTGTGGTGGCCTCTGGGGTCGGCGGGCGGCTGTCTGGGGCGTCTTGGAGCGCTCGGGGCCCGTCTCGGAGGCCCTCTTGGACGGCCCTCGGCCGTCTTCGGGCCCTCTTGGGGGCCTCCGGGGGGCAGCTCGGAGCGCCTGCCCGCAGCTGGCCGAGCCGGGCCGAGCTGGGCCGATGCCACCCGGCCGTTTCTTCGCACACGCTGATCCCGATAGTGTAGTATAGATGAACGACGTTGGGCTTCAACTTCGCCTCCCGCATCTTGCCCAGCAGCCGCAAGGCCTGCTGCCACTGCTCGCCTTTCGCGCACGCGTTGATCCCTGCGTTGAAGCTGACGACATCGGGCTTCAACTTCGCTTCGCGCATCTCGCTGAACAGCGATATGGAACGCTGCCATTGTTCGCCTTGCCCACAAGCGCTGATCGCAGCGCTGTAGCCAATGACATCGGGCTCTACCTTCGTCTCCCGCATATCGCTCAGGAGTGACACGGCCCGATGCCATTGCTCGTCTGTCGCACATGCGCTGATCCCAGTGTTGTAGCTGATGACGTTGGGGTTCAGCTTCGCCTCCCGCATCTCGAAGAGCAACGCGAAGGCCTGCCACCATTGCCTACCTTTCCCGCACGCACTAATCCCAGCGTTGTAGCTGATACTGTTCGGCACCACCTTCGACTTGCGCATCACGCTGATCAATAGTAGAGCATCCTTCCACTGCCCGACTTTCGCACACGCGCTAATCCCAGCGCTGTAGGTGATGACGTTGGGCTCTAGCCTCGCCGACATCATCTCACTGAGCAGCGCCAGGGCACGCTGCCACTGCTCGCCTTTCTCGCACGCGCTGACCCCAGCGTTGTAGCTGACCAGTGTGCACCCGTGGATTGAGTCCACGGCGGGCAGAACCAGCATCTTGCTCGTGCCCGCGGCTGCTTGCTGCTGATCTCCGCTGCTTGGTACGACATGCTGGTGCTGGTGACCACTCCAGATTTCGTAATAAAGGGAGGGGGGTCTCAGTTCGGGGGGGTCTCTTCCAGGCTATCTTGGAGGGCCTGGGGGGTCTGGGGACGATGTTTTGCAAGGTTCTCCCACGGGGGGGGGTCTGAAATGGCTTGTCTTGGAGGGTCCAGACCCCCTCCCTTTTATTACGAAATCTGGAGTATTGCTTCGTGCTGCCTCGGGCCACGGTGGGCTCGTGCTGACGCTGCGCGCCGCTGCTTGCAACGCCCGACTGCTGCCGCTTGCGCACGACGCCTCTGCTGGCCGCTCACGCGGATGGCTCGGCCGCTGCCGAGATCTCGGGTCCTGGAGCTGCCGCCTTCTGGGACCCTGGTCAAATTTGTAGGGGCCACTCTCGCGGATGGACAGAGCCCCCCTCTAGCAAAACGTGGTTTGGTGAAAACGACCTCGGGCCCAAACCTGGCGGGCGCAAGCCCGGGAAATGACGGCCGCGGCGCCCTCTCGGGAACCGAAAATCCACCCCCGACACTCTTGGGGACCCGTGGGCCTCGCGGGACTCGATCGGAGGCCTAGGGCGCCTCTTCTTCGGGTCCCCGCAAGGCCCGGCGGAGCCGTCTGGCGGGCTTTGGGGCCGCCTGGGCGACTCTCCGAGGGAACAGTGGGGCAGTCCTGGGCAGATGCAGATCCGCCTGGGGACCGTCCTGGGGGCCATCTTGCGCACGTGCTGGGCCCTGCAGGGCTGACAGAACTTTACAGTCGACGGATGCGAATGGCAGTCCATCGAAACGCACAGGCCCTCTGAGCGCATCCGGTTTAGAGAAGTTCCCCTTCGAGCCCCAACCGTCCCCCCAAGGACGGGTTTGCCACTGCCCCTTCCTTGTAAACATCACTTTCCCTTACTCGACCGGCGACAAAACCTTGGACCATGCGCGGGCACCGTCGGATCACTTTGCACTGTGCACCTGGAAAAAGAAAAGTGAGGTGCCCGCAACTTGTGTGGCATGCACGCGCCTTGCGCGCTTAGGTTTAGGTCGGGCAGGTCCTGCAGGCGGATTTTGGGCGAACAATTTGAAACAAAAAACTCAAAAAATGCGCCCAAATGGTCAAAAAGCAATACTCAAAATAGGGTTCCCATACAATTTTTGACAAGATTTGAATACTCCTCCTGTAGAGGGACATGCCCGACTTCAGCTTAGGTCCCTGGGGCGCACGGCGCAGCTGGTGCGCGAGGAGCACCTGGCACGCGCGGCGCACGTCGTGAGCGTCACGCCCCTGGCGCCGGCTCTGGTTACCACGAGCTGACCATCCAGCGGCGACCGTGCTAACGCTCAAACTCGAGTGCTGCTTGTGATGCGGAACGGCGGGTGGGAGTAGGCGAAACGGCCGTCCTTCGGGGGGGGGGGGGGGGCAGCCTGACCCCCCTTCCCGACCCCCCCGTCCCGGGACGGGGGGGCCCGAGGCATTCGACTGGGAGGCCCGAGGCTCTCTCTGGCAGCTGCCCTCCAGGACTGCCCGAATCCGATGGCCCATAGAAGAAGGAAAACGGGTAATTCCAGAGCGGTTCTCGGGCACCGCTTTGAGCGCGTTTTAGAGCAGTGCCTGGGGACTGCTTCGAACGATTGCGACGTGTGCGGTGGCACCGACGACAGAGAGGTGGCAACGACAAGAGAGATGACACCAGCCAGCATCTGATAATGTGTTCTGGCTCATACGCGGGCCACACAAACAGTGCCCGCAACTGCGGTCATGCTGCAGCCATGCGCAACTACGTCTACCTTGACTTACCTACCAGACCACCCCAACCCAACCCGAAGACCCGAATTTCGGGTTGGGGGGGGGGGCGGGTTCCATATGTGCTTTCTCGATGTTCCCCGACCCCCCCCACTGGAAAGGGAGGTCAGTTTGAGGCCTTCGGGTTGGGTTGGGGTGGTTTGGTAGGCGGTAAGCCCCTGGCGCGCTCCGCGCGCCAGTGAGGGGGGTCCAGCGGCGATCCGAGAAATCCGCGCGGACCTCAACGCGTCGGGGAGGAGGAGGAGGAGGAGGAGGAGGAGGAGGAGGAGGAGGAGGAGGAGGAGGAGGCGTTTTCATGTTTTCATGGGTGGTGATATCTGACTATCCGCGGTGCGCGCCCCGACTCCAGCCTGCCCACCGGCTGGTGTTCCACCGGCCGTCTGCCCGGCAGTGTTCGAGGGGGCGTGGGAGGCCGTCACGCGTGACACAACAACGATGGCGATGATGACGATGCTGAGGATGATGATGAGGCTGATGATGCTGATCGATGATGATGTTGATGATAATTGTGATAATGATGATGATGATGACTTTGATGGTGATGGTGATGATGGTGGTGATGGTGGTGGTGATGATAATGGTAAGGATGTTGATGACAATTGTGATCATGGTGATGATGATGATGACGATGATGATGTTGATGATAATTGTGATAATGATGATGACGATGATGATGATGATGACGATGATGGTGATGGTGATGGTGATGATGATGATGAAAATGATGCTGATGATGGTGGTGATGATGGTGGTGGTGATGATGATGATGACATTGCTGTCTGGGGCGAAATAAATTACTGTACTGACCCAGTCTCCCGAAAACGATCGTTATATGCAAAACTTGCTTCACCCCCCCTCGCTGGTTTTAAGTAGAGCGCCACCATGGCTGTCGTTTCAACGGGACCCAAGCGAGTCGGGGCCTGACCACGCGCTGCGGCATCGCGAAGAGCACCCCACAACGCCAGCGGCAAAGCGTGCAACGACGACGTTGGGCACAAGAACACGCATCCCGAAACATGACGAAGTTCACCGAAGTCTCGTTTGGGGTCCGGTTGGGCCCGATATATGGGCTTCTGGATTGAGCGTGCCCTCGAAAACCCCAAGAGGGGGGCCCCTGCGCCTGCCTGCGGCCCTGTGGGAGGGCCCTCCGTGGCCGCCTTGGGGCCATCTTGGGAGCGTCCTGGGGCGTCCTTGTGACCCCCTCGGGTGCCGTCTGCGAGGCGCGTCGGGCCACTCTGTGGCAATGCGGGGCACACTGCCAGAGCAAGGGAAGCCAGACATGTTGAGAAAACCTTCCGGAGATGGAGGCCAGAGGCCAGCCTCTGCTCCGGGGCACCCCAGGATGGCGCCCAGGCCACCGAGCGGAGTTGCCAAGCCAACACCGCGCAAGGCTGGGCTGTCTGGTTCAAGACCCTGGCTGGCACGAAAGCCACCCGGCACTGTCGATAAGGTGACGTTGGGCTTCAACCTCGCCGCCCCCATCCTGCCGAGCAATACCAATGCCTGCTGCCACTGGCCGCCTAGCCTGCACGCGGCGATGCCTGCGTTGTAGCTAACCACGTTGGGCTTCGCCATCGACCCGCACATCTCGCTCAGCAGCAAAACGGCCAATTGCCACTGATTTCCCTTTTCGCACGCGCTGATCCCGGCGTTGTAGCTGACGACGTTGGGATCCAACTTCGCCTTACAGATTTCGCTCAATATCGACAAGGCTTGCTGCCACTGCTCACTTTTCCCGCATGCGCTGATGAGAGCGTTGTAGCTCACGACGTCGGGCTCTACCTTCGCCTGCCGCATCTGGGTCAGCAGTGACAAGGCCCGCTGCCACCGCTTTCCTTTCTCACACGCGCTGATCCCAGCGTTGTAGGAGAGACTAGCGCGAACCCGTGAATGACATCTACGGTGTGCTTAGCCTGGGGTTCGCCGTGGGTGAACAGCTCGTCGAAATTGAACAACTCGGGCGTCCCTGGGGCCGTGTCGGGGGCATGTTGGGCCCTCCTGCGAGCCTGTCTGGAGCGTATTGAAGGCTCTTGCGGCTTTTGGGCGCCAGCCTCAGAAGAGCCCGAAAAGCTCCTGGTGTAGCCCGAAAAAGCCCAAACAGGGGCCACCAGGGGCTCCGTACGGCCCCCCAGGGGGCACCCGACGGACACTACAACAGGGGTGATGTTCTGAGGGTTTCCCGATCCAGGGCCGGAGGGGGTCCACGATCCGAAGGTTCTTGAGTGGGTCAGGGGCAGGTCGGAATGATCTATAGTGCCTGGTGTGGGGCCTGGGGCTTGATTTGGGGCTTCCGGGTCTGGTGGTCCCCGCACCATCGTGCAGAAGAAAGTCTTTTGGTAAAGGTTCTCTAGAGTAGCTGGTTTTTGGGCCCACCACCATAGTACAAGCTAAGACGCGCAAGTTTATATTTGAAAGTCTCTGCTCGTCTAAAGGCGATCCAAATTCTAACATGCAACTAATCGTGACGAGAAAGCCCAGCCCGACAAGAACGGCGGAACGCCGAGTTATCCAGCAAGCGCGTGAGAGAACGTCTGGTTGAACATGCGAAGCGTCGTCGTCGTCGCGCCGTTGTCGTCGTTGTCGTCGTCGGCGCCGTCGTGGGGATCCATGTTCGTGATTGTCCAGAGGCTCTGCGGGGCTGTCATCGAACGCTCGAGAGGCCTCTGCAGGGCTCCATCGGGCGCCGCTGACGCCGCCGGTGAAGCCTCTCGGCGAGGCCTAATCGGGAGCCGCGGGCGTGGCTGGACAAATTTGATATCCTTATTGGATTTGTCTGGAGGCTCTGCGGGGCTGTCCTGAAAACGCTCGTGGAGACTCCGGTGGGCCCCATCGGGCGCCGCTGACGCCGCCGGTGTAGCCTAG